TAATGTATCAATTTCACTTGAAGCTTACTTGTAGTTTCAGGCTTGGTCAAGCGCGATACAAACCATGTAGTAGGAGTCCCCCAAGTCGCCGAGCTAGGGGGTCTGCTGAAAGAGGTGACAGACAAGGTAAGCAATCAGAGCTCCGACTGATTGTTCACCTTCTCCCCATCTTGCAGCAGCATGAAGGATAAAGAGAAGAAAAATGAGAAGAAATGATATGAGATACTTTTGCTTTTGAAGAAGTAACTTTCCACAGGCTTATTCTTGAACTGAGCTGGAGGGTTTTCTGGTTTCCTCCAGAGTATAAGGCCGACTGAAGAATTTGAGGGTCAAAACAAGTCCATCAAATCTAGAGTACGTTCCACCCTGCTGATATGGGATACTTTTGCTTTTGACAGAGTAATGGATGTATCGGCACGTGTGCTGTTACGCTTGTCTCCACATGCTTCCTTGTATCCTTCGCACTTGCCCTATCTGTTCCTCAAGCAAATGCGGAATCTTCCCTGGAAACATAAGATGTTGAAGATGAGTACTCGAGAGCAATGCCAGGTAAGTAATCAGGTAAGGGGTTCCAGGCAGTCAGATCCTGGCTGGAAGCTTGATTCCAAGTGCTGACTGATTGCTCTCTTTCTCCTTGTCTTGCAGGTAAAAACAAGGCCAAAGGAAAAGACAGGGAAAAAGCATGATATGGGATACTCTTGCTTTTAACCCTGATGATATGAGATATTCTTGCTCTAGTATAGCTTGTTTGCAGAGGTATTATCGGGGGGAAAGAAAGCTGAATATTTCGAAAGGCTTCGTTGGGAGTGCCCTCTCAGATATGATGAAGGGTTGAGCATTTTTGCAGGTCTGCCTGTCCGTTGGGGATGGAGGTCGACATATATAGGAGTCTCCCTAACAAGTAGTAATGCTATTCCTTTACCCTGCTTGGTCATAGCACGGTAGTGGGAGCTGCCAGTTTCACATGTTTTAACTCTGTCAGAGCACTTTGAAAAAGTGGTCTGTGGTATCTGGCTCTCGAGATTCGGAGAACGATGCCTCTTCGATTTTTGAGAAAGCAATCATGCTGGGGGTCTGGCTCTCGAGATTCGGAGAGCAGTCTCTTCGATTTTTAAGGAAGTAATCATGTTGGGAGTCTGGCTCTCGAGATTCGGAGGGCGGTGCCTCTTCGATTTTGGAGCAAGCAATCTTGTTGGGAGTGTTGTCTCGAATGTGAGTAAAGGTTGGGCATGTTTGCTAGTCTACCTTGCCACGAAGCACAAAGGTTGACACACAGGGACTTTCCAATTATCCAGCAATGGTACTGTTCCTTTACCCTCTCTTCGATTTTGAGAAAGTAGTCATGTTGGGAGTCTGGCTCTCGAGATTCGGAGGACGGTGCCTCTTCGATTTTGGAGCAAGCAATCTTGTTGGGAGTGTTTTCTCAAATGTGAGTAAAGGTTGGGCATGTTTGCTAGTCTACCTTGCCACGAAGCACAGAGGTTGACACACAGGGACTTTCCAATTATCCAGCAGTGGTATTGTTCCTTTACCCTTGTGGGTAATAATATGGTAGCTAGACCTTCAAAATTTATGTGTCTAAACTTTGTTAGTGCTGTTTCTTTGCTATTCTTTCACCTTTCTTGGTCAGAGCGATGTAGTGGGAGCTGCAAGCTTCACGTGCTCAACTTTGGCAGAGAACTTTGGCAAAGTTATCTGTGGTACCCATGAGCTATTGTTGCGTGTGGGAAGTGGGTGATTGAACAGTAAGATTCATGTGCTTTCTACTTCACCAGAAGTCTTCGACAGAATGCCCATAATTTCTGCAAAGCTGAGTGTGCGTGTGACAGGTGCTGACAAGGCTAGAAAAGTAGGTGCCTCTTCGATTTCTGAGATCGGCCCTCGTGGTCTCTGAGCAGCCCAGCTTTTGAGAAAGCGCGCCTCTTCGATTGATTCGGAGAACGATGCCTCATCGATTTTTGAGAAAGCAATCATGCTGGGGGTCTGGCTCTCGAAGATTCGGGGAGCAGTGTCTCTTCGATTTTTGAGAAAGTAATCATGTTGGGAGTCTGGCTCTCGAGATTCGGAGGGCGGTGCCTCTTCGATTTTGGAGCAAGCAATCTTGTTGGGAGTGTTTTCTCGAATGTGAGTAAAGGTTGGGCATGTTTGCTAGTCTACCTTGCCACGAAGCACAGAGGTTGACACACAGGGACTTTCCAATTATCCAGCAATGGTACTGTTCCTTTACCCTCTCTTCGATTTTTAAGAAAGTAGTCATGTTGGGAGTCTGGCTCTCGAGATTCAGAGGACGGTGCCTCTTCGATTTTGGAGCAAGCAATCTTATTGGGAGTGTTTTCTCGAATATGAGTAAAGGTTGGGCATGTTTGCTAGTCTACCTTGCCACGAAGCACAGAGGTTGACACACAGGGACTTTCCAATTATCCAGCAGTGGTACTGTTCCTTTACCCTTGTGGGTAATAATATGGTAGCTAGACCTTCAAAATTTATGGGTCTAAACTTTGTTAGTGCTGTTTCTTTGCTATTCTTTTACCCTTCTTGGTCAGAGCGATGTAATGGGAGCTGCAAGCTTCACGTGCTCAACTTTGGCAGAGAACTTTGGCAAAGTTTTCTGTGGTACCCATGAGCTATTGTTGCGTGTGGGAAGTGGGTGATTGAACAGTAAGATTCATGTGTTTTCTACTTCCCCAGAAGTCTTCGACAGAATGCCCATAATTTCCGCAAAGCTGAGTGTGCGTGTGACAGGTGCTGACAAGGCTGGAAAAGTAGGTGCCTCTTCGATTTCTGAGATCGGCCCTCGTGGTCTCTGGGGAGCCCAGCTTTTGAGAAAGCGAGCGCCTCTTCGATTTCTGAGATCAACCTTCGTGGTCTTTGAGCAGCCCAACTTTTGAGAAAGCAAACGCCTCTTCGATTTCTGAGATCAACCCTCGTGATCTCTAAGCAGCCCAGCTTTTGAGAAAGCAAACGCCTCTTCGATTTCTGAGCAGACGCCTCTTCGATTTCTGAAGCTCCGTCGAGTGCAGATTTTTATAAGGGCTGGCATTAAGTTCCAAAGCACACTTGAATCTCCACCAGTAGAAGCTTCATTCTTGCACTTCTAAGATTTTGATTTGTCCGACCTCTTCTCTCTTCAACACCTTTGAAAATGTCTGGCCCCTCCGACCGTCGTTTTGACTTGAACCTTGTTGAAGAGGCAGCCCCGCCTTCTCCAGACAACATATGGCGCCCATCCTTCGTCTCCCCTACTGGTCCTCTTACCGTTGGGGATTCCGTGATGAAGAATGATATGACCGCTGCGGTGGTGGCCAGGAACCTTCTCACTCCCAAAGATAACAGACTACTTTCCAAACGGTCTGATGAGTTAGCTGTTAAGGATTCGCTGGCTCTCAGTGTTCAGTGTGCAGGTTCTGTGTCTAATATGGCCCAACGCCTATTTGCTCGAACCCGCCAAGTTGAATCATTGGCGGCTGAAGTGATGAGTCTCAAACAGGAGATTAGAGGGCTCAAGCATGAGAATAAACAGTTGCACCGGCTCGCACATGACTATGCTACAAACATGAAGAGGAAGCTTGACCAGATGAAGGAAACTGATGGTCAGGTTTTACTTGATCATCAGAGATTTGTGGGTTTGTTCCAAATGCATTTATTGCCTTCGTCTTCTGGAGCTATACCGCGTAATGAAGCTCCAAATGATCAACCTTTGATGCCTCCTCCTTCTAGGGTTCTGTCCAGTACTGAGGCTCCAAATGATCCCCCTCCGGTGCCTTCTCTTTCTGGGGCTCTACCGACTGCTGAGACTTCTCCTAAGCAACCTTTGTGAAGGCTCCCTCTTGTGTGTTTATTTTGACTCATGTATATGTACATATTTGTAGCTTATCGGGGATATCAATAAATAAGCTTTCCTTCATTTCAACGTATTGTGTTAAATACACCAAAGCCTTCTTCGCTAAGTTCTTTGAATTTTTTTTTGTTGAAGCTTGTATGTTGAAGCTTTCTGAGTGGAGCATGTAGGTTGGGGTAGTGTTCCCTTAATTTTCCGAGTGAGGAAAACTTCTCGGTTGGAGACTTGGAAAATCCAAGTCACTGAGTGGGATCGGCTATATGAATCTTAGAACGCCATTGTGCTCGATCCTGTGTCATGTCCTTCGTTAGATCCAAGTACTCTAAGTCTTTTCTTAGAGTCTCTTCCAAAGTTTTCCTAGGTCTTCCTCTACCCCTTCGGCCCTGAACCTCTGTCCCATAGTCGCATCTTCTAATCGGAGCGTCAGTAGGCCTTCTTTGCACATGTCCAAACCACCGTAACCGATTTTCTCTCATCTTTCCTTCAATTTCGGCTACTCCTACTTTATCCCGGATATCCTCATTCCTAATCTTATCCTTTCTCGTGTGCCCACACATCCAACGAAGCATCCTCATCTCCGCTACACCCATTTTGTGTACGTGTTGATGTTTCACCGCCCAACATTCTGTGCCATACAGCATCGCCGGCCTTATTGCCGTCCTATAAAATTTTCCCTTGAGCTTTAGTGGCATACGGCGGTCACATAACACGCCGGATGCACTCTTCCACTTCATCCATCCAGCTTGTATTCTATGGTTGAGATCTCCATCTAATTCTCCGTTCTTTTGCAAGATAGATCCTAGGTAACGAAAACGGTCGCTCTTTGGTATTTCTTGATCTCCGATCCTCACCCCTAACTCGTTTTGGCCTCCATTTGCACTGAACTTGCACTCCATATATTCTGTCTTTGATCGGCTTAGGCGAAGACCTTTAGATTCCAACACTTCTCTCCAAAGGTTAAGCTTTGCATTTACCCCTTCCTGAGAGGTGAAAGAAAGAAATGCAAGAGAAAAATGTTGCAATATTAAACACCCAAATCCAATAGTCTATATGAGCCGAGTTTTAACAAAGTTATAGCTTACAAAAGCTAGCAACAACAATTGTTACTGGCTTACGGTTTAGCGATAATCCTCTTGGCTTGTAAGAGTTTGACTACAGTAAGTGATGGAATTGATACCGCATTATTGTGACAAGACTGTTTGCGTAAATTACACAAATCATTTACCTCGTATTGTAAATGTCATTGTAGCAAAAAAAGCAATATATAAACTACAGATACGAAGCGAAAAGGATGAAAAATAAGTTCACTCGAAAAACACAAAACATATATAGACACCAAGAAAACTGTCCGACAGAAGGCTAAGTAAATCAACTGTAGAAACAAAGTATTCCTAGGAGACTCGGGTTAAAGAACAGGTGTGACCGGTGGCTTTAATCTCACCACTACTCAACTGTATCTGCGTTTGGACTAGTATTACCTGCGTCCGGTTTAGCTATTTCATCACCCCTTCGACTGTTATCATCAACGTCGAGCACATCATCAATCATGTCGTCCTCTGCTACATTAATATCTTCCACATCATCCTCATCTTCGTCGTTGCTTCCATCAGGGATCGTTCTTTTCTTGGGACCATGCTCAAGCCTGTGCGTGTCTAATTCTTTGTCCATTGTTTCCTGTAAGTTCATGACATCGTTGTTCGCTTTCCTTGGTGTCCTTGCATTTTGCCACCTCTCTAACTCCTTTTCAACATTGGCAGTATACTGCTCCCCAATCTGCTTCTGATATTCGGTCAGTTCTTCCCTTCGTGCAGCTTTCCATGCTAGAAACTCCTGACACAGTTTTGTACGGGAAGAATCAAACAAATTAGATATATAAATATACGAAGTAATGTTCTCAGGCTAAATATTTGTAATGTTATATCATTGGACCTTCAGGCAAATATGAATGATCCTAACTCATAAACGGGCAGAATAGCTACACAAATTCTTTGGCACTAGAAATTTACTCTTCCATTAGAGGTAGTCATATTGTGAATACATGATGGCCGACCCTGAAATGTGGTCCGATGATCTGAATAATTCATTTTTCATATCCACGTTCAAAAAATTTCATACAGAGAATGAGCAAAATCAGAACTCATTGAGTTCCTCGACTGGTTCAAACAGATAGACCAACACAATTTTTCCAATAAATAATGACACAATTACGATCATAATCAAATGGCCGATGCTTGCTTAGCACTGATGATTCTAAAATGAAGATGTAATATATAACCGGTCCTGATGTATCGCAAGAGGGCCACCCCCAAAACTGTAATCTCGTTATCCTTGCTACTGAATTCTTACACTTATATGCGGATATTTAAATTTAGTGCCTAATCAAATTTCTGGTTTACTTAATTGGCAGCTTCACAAAGCTTCATTTTTTATGAGAAGTTAAAAAAAAAAATCTTTGATTGAAACCATAAGCCAGTTTCTCCATATATTCAAAAAGAACCTGACAAGTCACAAGGAACTCACCTTTTCTTTTTGCTGCTCAGTTAGCGCAGCATCCTTCTAATGATTTCTTGGGGAGATAATATATTGGAGGCTCTGTTTTAGTCCTGAAATAGAACAAATTCCCAACCAATCAAACATGGGTGAGAAATTAATATAGAAGAAAGCACTAATTAATTCTACCTAAAACCCCACAATAATGCAGGAAACATCCAGTCATCAGGTTGCTTCAACACTACTATTCGCATGAATAGAATCTTATCTTTGCCCCATTAAAAGGTGAATATGGACACTTTTTTTTGGACCAAAATTAAAAATAACCTGCAAAAGAAAAAACACCAGAGAATCACTTCTTAGAACCTTGTTTGTTTTTTTTTTTTTTTTTTTTTTTTTTGTGACAAGAACATGAGAGCTCTCAAGTATCGAAGATGGTAAGCAAAATAATTTGAAATCAAGGATAACACCGTTTAAGTAAATTGATAGTTAGAAACCTTATACCTTATAAAATTCCCAAGTCTTTTATTATGCTCACTCCACTGAAGAAAAAGAAGTTCCAATTTCTTTTCTTCCGTCTTGGCATTAACACGTGCCCGAAGAGTCTACAAAAAAAATAAGTGCAGGGATTAGCCAATAAGGATCACTGTGTTCCTCAAACAAAAGTTATTTCCAGGCTACACTAATAGAGGTCAAAGTATTCTTATCAGGAACTTAACAACGAACCAGATCTCTCCTCCGCTTTTCCGCAATTTGTTCACGCTCTTGTTGCCTCAGTCTTTCACTTTCTTCTCGTGCTCTTTGCTCAGCCTATATATAATATGACATGTATTATTTACAAGTTTCATCATTAAACTCAATTTTTTTTTTATAAATGAAAGAAAGAACAAAAAGTCATGCAAAAAATGCTTGAAATGAGCATTAACGAGCATCTAGGTATGCAAGCACATATGCAAATGGACAACATCTATCCTAAACAGCTAAACTCCATACAAACATTCCTTTAAATTCGCCTTTATTTACAACAGATTGAGATAAAAAAGACATACAGAAACTTTTTTGTTAAGTTCCAAAGATATCAGAACATCATTGTGCCCTGTACAATTTAATAACAGTTACGAAACTCCAATAAGGAAAAAAAGAAAATGACCTTGTGAGATCCAAAAGAACAAGGAAAAAAATGCCTAAGTACCACAATGGTGACCACTGATTTTATTTTTATTCATTATATGTCATAGAAACAAAGTAGTATTAAGAAAAAGTACAAAACAAAAGAAAATATGGTAACTCTACAAGACTACAACCCCTCCATGGCCACAGAGTACAAACAATTTCAGTATTTCGCAATATCAGTTTCATATAGAATTTCCCAAATTTACTAGTAACTTTCATTAACTATATTCATGCAATTTTATCTATGTGGTAACTACCCAAAAATCCAGGAGACAAGAATCAAGCTAGATATGGTCTTCATAAATTGATGCTCCAATTGTACACATTTAAACTTTCATAGCGCACACATTTAAACTTTCACAGAGCACAATATTTTTCAAAACAAGAGCAACCCAGAGCAGAAGAACAAAAATGCACATCTTTAGTTCTTTTTCATAATTCCTGCCAAGCTCCTATTGCCGAAGTTAAGTACCTTCCTCTCCAGTAGGAGGAAGGCCTTGTGTAAAGGGAGGATGATTAGCTTGTAAGTGTTTAAGTGAATGCCAGGTACTGGTGGATGAATAGATCGTCATCCTAAAATTTTTAGCATGCCAACATTCATCTAGAATATTATTTTGCATCATGGATATATACTCAATTCGAAGCATATAAAATCATGGTATACACTCAAATAGATTAATTACCATAGAAATCATTCATATACTCACTCTCTGTAAAGAATTTGATCTCCGCATGAATCCCTCTGTCGCTGAAAGTTGCAAGTCTTCTTTCCTGAATTTCTGCAACAGTTTGACAACCACGGAGAATTAATAAGCATTTTTTTTTTTGGACAAGAAACCATAGAGCTTTTATTAAAACAGCAAAAAGATTTAGAAACAAGTGGATAAGAAGTCCACCATCTAAAATACCCTAGCTAAAACCTCTCAAGTAGGGCTACTTTATCCCTAAACTCATTTGAAACTCATGCCCATAGTTCATCTACTCCCACTCCCTTCTAATCCTAAAAAATTTTCTATAATGTTCCAAAAAACTGCCAACACCAAACTGCCCCACAAAGCTTTAGCTTTCATATGGAATTACAATACACACACACACACACACATATATATATTATAATGGTCATTTGAAAACAGGTTAAGGGAAAAAAATTAGTCTATGAAAAATGATAGTTTTACACCTCAAGCAGACCACATGGTGGCTCCCTCTGTTCACTATACAACAACAACAACAACAACAAAGCCTTTTCCCACTCAGTGGGGTTGGCTATCTGTTCACTATATGGTGCTTAATTCATATTGTAAGTGTTAAGGAATGTCTAAAATGCAAAATTGATGTCCATTATTCCATTGGATGCCCATGTGATTACAATGGATGCCTAAGAAGATCAAGCTGTGGCTTCTCCTGTAGTACTAATAATATATAGGCAGGTCATGGAAAGTTGGAAACTTAAGGGCCCTTTTGATACCCATTTTGTTTCTAGTATTTTGTTTTCACTTTTGTGTTAGTGATAGAGGGAGAATACATGGGGCACACAAAATGAAAACTAAAAACCAAACACTTTTTAAAGTTGTTTTCACTTTTAAGATTTTGTTTTCATTCATTCTTCATTTCTTCCCTACTCTCCCATCACCCTTCGTCATCCCTCCTTTCCACCATATGCTTTCCTCATATCTCAAGCAGGCCCTAACAAGGCCAACTAGAGACTTCATCTTCACTATTTGGTACATGTGAAGTGTTAAGAAACATCCCTATGCATATTGTGAAGCCTTATATAACCCTTACGCGCTTAAAATAATATTCTCTAGACTACAGAGCCATGGAAAAGTCTACACTCCTAAAAATTTGTTCACAAGTTATGTATTCCTATATCAGAGTATGGGTTGAATAAATACTAGCAAGTAGTGCTGCTAGTAGCTTAACTTCAAATTGGAAACAAACATAAAAATGGTGGCCACTCAAAAGAGGAGATTTGGCAAGGTTATCTGTTATTGTAACCTAATTTCAGAAGTGAATAAGTTAAAATAAATTTTTTCTGATAACCTTGATGTTTACAAGTATATATATATATTTTTTACAATGATAAAATGGAAGCCATGTTATAAGCTTGGCAAATCAAGTGTATTTCTACAAGGCAATCCACTTGCACTTTTCTTATTCACATTGGTAGTTGAATCATAAAGCCATTTAGTCGATTGAGAAAAGGACGCATAGCCACGTAGGGCAGGAATCAACTCACAAGAAAGCAAACTCGAGGAGCTTGTGTCCAGTTTGGGTAGCTAGCCTATGCATTATTTTGGTATCTATAGGGTACTCCATGTGTGGTTGATTGTAAGGACCTGTTAGTGAAGAAAGTGGAGAAGAGAGGAAAGTTGGAAAAATGTTCTTGCCTACAAGGGGCATCGATTTGACTCATTCAGTATTAGGCACTGTTACAGCCTACTATTTTCACTTTTTGGAATCCCAAGCAAATAGACTGGAGAATATAGTGTGGGATTATTCGTGGAGAATATAGTGTGGGATTATTCGTGGAGAATATAGTGTGGGATTATTCGTGGGAATGTGAGACGGCATAAAGGAGCATTTGATTAGATGTGGAGTCACTCTTAGGAGCAAGGTAGATTTTGGAAGGGTGGAGCAGTGGACACAGTTAAAAGAAGAGTAAAACTTTTGGTATCCAAGTCTTATAGCTGACAAATCCACGAAGGCAGTTGTACCCTCCAATTCTAACAGTCAGGGGAAAAAAATGGGAGACATCTCCACATACACATCATTGCATCCATGGGGAATTGAACATGAGACCTACACTTCTTGAGGTGCTAATATCGGCTCATCCTATCACTGGACAAATCACTAACCCTTGGGGTTCCCTTCTATTTGTCATTATGCAATGGGTGCGAGGAATTTTGGAAAGGGGTGGAGTCTCCTCCGCACATTTCTGTTTCCCCCATCTTTACTTGAACCATCATATTGACTCCATTTCCAGTGTTCCATGGAGTTAGAATGATGATCATCATAGACATGAAAATAACTAAATGAAAATGTTCTGACCATTAATCCATATTAAATATTTGTGTTGTAGTTGTAAGTAAACAAATCAGTTCAACTACTGGTTGCTTGCTGATGAAAACCAATAAACTAATCTGCACGTACCTCTAGAGTCCCCAAAAGTTGTCCTAGCATTCTTTTGTTCCTATTAACCAAGCTGGGGTCTTGTTCTTTTGGCAATACTCTCGGAACATGATCTGCTGTTGGAATTTCAAAATCCTAACCACAAAACACCAATCACAGTCAATAAAGATTTATGGTTCCAGAGCAACACTCCTCGGAAAGACGAAAAAGACTTAAAGTTACCTTCTTTGCTGCTCCATGATTTCCTTCCCTCCTTGACCAGCCACTTTGTTGGGAATTCGCCAACTTCCTATCACTCTGATCATCCGTACCTTCAACAGCTGAATCATTCGTCTTCACATCCTTGGCATCTTCAGCAGTTTCAGTGATTTCTCCATCCTCCACCTTTTTCCAAAATCAAGAAATACGATTTTTGAATTATGTTAAGAAGACAAAGGAAACAAGGCTGCCTTCAATATTACCAAAACGTAAGCCCCCCCTAATAATCTGAGGTGAAATTCTATCTATTTCATACAATCATTACTTTCTCTTCCTTTCTAATTTCTCAGACTTCAAACGGAGGTTAAGATTAAGACCCATTACAATTAGCGCAAGTTAATATAAATCACAACAGCCAGAAGACAAGATTAAAATAATAGTGTTAGTTTATGCGAAACGCAAGGGCACTTACCTTGACAACCGCTGACGAAAGCCGGCGTTTTGCTGGACGTTGATCCTCTGCATCAGCTCTATCTGCCTGAAAATTACAATGCCCAATTAGAACTCTAAATTAAAATTGAAATAATGATTGTAAACTTTAAAGAGACCTAATTTTATTAGCACAAAAGCAAAAATACCCAAAATTGCAATTAGTTCATTGGAAACAAAAGATGAAACTGAAACAAGCAAGTGGGTAAATCACCGGTCGTGCAAATCCACGCGGTCGAGCACCATTGCCGGCAAAATTGCGAGGACCAGCTGCCACCAAGCCTCCCTTCCGGAGTCCCCTAGGGTCTCGAAGCCGTTCTGTAATCTGAAGATTAAGAAACAAGCACAGAGTAATTATATATATATATATAGAGAGAGAGAGAGAGAGAGAGAGAGAGAGAGAGAGAGAGGAAGAGGAAGAGAGAGATAGAGAAGCAGACCTCGCGCTGTTGGCGTTGGAGTTCATCGATCTCCTTACGGAGCTCCTCCTGAGTTTTCTCAACTGTGGCGGTTCCCATGAGTCGAAGAAGAAGAGGAAGAATTCACCAAAGCCCTCGACGCGAGTCTCGTTTTGCTTTCCCCAAATTCTTTGGCACTCTACTGAAAACATGTCCTGCACTGCACCTACCCGCTATAAATTTATGGGTTAATTACAATTTGCACCCTCTAAATTTTATATTTGTATTTTTGGCCCCTATCTTTTGGTAACTAGCATTTGGCATCTTATTACTTTTGTCGTTTTAATTTTTTTTTATAGTAAGATTCTTTAAGAACATCCAAACTATAAAACTACATCTTTTTTATTTTTTTTTATTTTTTATAACAAACAATATAATCTAGGCTAAGGGGAGGGGGTAGGCTTAGCATCATAATAGGCTAGCAACAATATGGTTTAAACTTGCTTCTACCGATAATCGAACCTAGGATCTCTCATTTACGAGTGAAGAGGAATATCACTAGATCGTAGTACTAAATGACAAAACTATATATTTTTTTGGTAAACAATAAAACTACATCTTTAGTGAAAATTGAAAAGACACACTTTTGTGTTCGCTACACACTAGTCAGGCGGTAGGCAAGAGCTTAGTGCCATGTCTCTAGGCGTCTTTTTAATTTATTTTTAATTAAATTCATTTTATAACTTATAAATAAGTGTTTACTTATACTTAAAAGAAATACATAATTGTCTTGGGATGCATAAATGACAAAGTAGAATGATATATAAATTAGGATAATGCTAGTGAGACTAAATTTGTAGAAATTTTTTTGAAAACTAAATGATATGGAAGTTGATGATTAGATTATTACTTAAGCGCTGATAAACGTGCTCATTTCTATTAGTCACACATAATTTAGTTTGCAAATTTAGTCTTCCTAGTATTACCCTTAAATTATAAAGTACTAGAATATATTCAGAACATGGGATAAAACATATAATAAGTGTTCCTCCAAAGTATCTAACAAGTCTCTTGTAATTATTGAAATTTTTTTTTTTTAAAAAAAAGTTATCTATTTATGTCTAAGCAAGAGTTGCTATCTAAGCTATATTCTTAAATAAAAATAAATAAAGCAAAAAAATCACAAAACCACCGAGCTTGCCTAGACCGTCTAGTCAGGCTGGGCGACCGTCTTTTCTTATTTTCCAAACGCCTAGAGACTAATTAGGTTGATGACTAGCCATTTAGCGCTTTTTAGAATACTACTGTTTACAAACCCACAACATAATTGCTTCCAATTATAACAATAAATTGTAAAATTAAAATAAAAGCAAATAAACAATTAGAAAAAAGTTGTACCCAGATAAAGCTTTTGAAAAGTGGGGGTTAGGGTTTAGGAAGATTTGTGATTTCTTCTCTCTGAATTTTCTTTTGGTTTGAATTGGAAATGAAATAAAATTTGTTCGAATCAGTTAAACTTTTTGGTCTAGAGAGTGATTACTTATATATACTTCCCTATATGTTGTACTTTATTATGTGTTTGTACCATATTTGATCAATCCCGAAACTACTGAGCACCGGTCAACGTTATACTGTCAAGGACCCAGAAGAGTTTCCCTCAAACCAGGAGGCCAATCACAATGCGACAAGTGTCGACATCAGAAGCCAATCATAGCGCGACACGTGTCAACATCAGAAACTAATCACAACACGATACGTGTCAATGTCATAATGAAACTAGAAACTCTCTTCTATAAATAGAGATTATTCTCTCACAATATTTCCGAATGTCATTTGTACTAAATCATTCACTAGTACTCACTAAAGGAGAGCTTGAACCTATGTACTTGTGTAAACCCTTCACAATTAATGAGAACTTCTCTACTCCGTAGACGTAGCCAATCTGGGTGAACCACGTACATCTTGTGTTTGCTTACCTGTCTCTATCCATTTACATACTTATTCACACCAGTGACCGGAGCAATCTAGCGAAGGTCACAAACTTAACACTTTCTGTTGTACCAAAGTCCTCACTGATTTTGTGCATCAATATTTGGCGCCGTCTGTGGGAACGACACTTATTCCCACTTTCTTCAGCTTTGCCCAGCTGGTTTCCACCATTCGTACACTCTCTTTTGACCAGGCATCCATCTCCAACATGGGGAGCGAAGGAAGCACAACCAAGGTATAAAATATCGATGATATCAGAAATATCGGTAGTCCAAAAACACGGAAATTTTGATGGAAATATCGGGATATTATCGATATCGATAAAAATTGAATAAAAACCACGAAAATTGTAAGAAAAACTTGAAAATTTTTATTGAAACTTTGCAGGATGTTTATTTAGTCAATTATCTATTAGTTTATCACAAAAAATTGGAAGGAAATGCATTGCATGATAGATATAACTTATTTAAGTTGATTATATAGCGAGTTGGCAAACATTGTGAGTGTAGAAAATATGTAGTAATTAATGAAAGAAGTTTAAACACACCATAATCATTTTTATATAATGAATTAGTGCAATATTTTACACTTTATACATTGCATGGTAAGATACATGAGTGACTTAGCAAGGTCTAAAATATCGATAATATCAGAAATATCGGTAGTCCAAAAAAATATCGGTAGTAAAAAAACATGGAAATTTCGATAGAAATATCGGGATATTATGGATATTTTAGACCATGACCATAACACACAGAATGACACCCATCTTGCACCTAGTGCGAAGCAACGAAAGAAGGAAGGAAAAAATGTTGTTCTTCAAGCTAAAGTCGATGAGCTAAAAGCTCAGAACAACAAGATAGCAATGAAGAATGAGGTCCTCTAGGAGCAATATGAGAAGCTCTTTGAGACGCTCCACGAAACTAGGCGTACTCAAACACGCCAGCTCGTTGCCTCTGTGGACATCAACCATCATCTGGGTGCCCCCAACACGGAGGGTCACCTTCCTTCGACATGGGTATCCCTGATGATGAGCGAGCTAATCATCAAAACATTGATCAACATGAGACTTCTCTCAACCCAGATGCTTCGACCCGATGCAAAATAAGTGGAAGAAGACACCTCCTTGTAGAAAGGTTGGAAGGATCAAAAGCCGTTTATCGTGACTGTCGAGACTTCCTAAAGCAACGTCGAGAGAATCCCTTCCACATATGCTCAAAGATCAATGACCCAAGGGTTTCTGAAAGACTCGATCCCCTCCCACGAACCAGGTCAGCTGCCAATCTAGGGAAATAACAACAGGTCTCAGAGGAACATGATGGTACATGGGACTCTGAGGTATTTCGACAGACTTGCCCTAGAAGTTAGTACGACGAGTCCAAGAAAAAACCACACGCTCTTGCTCAAACTTTCCTACTTCTAAGAGGCGATGAAGACTTACGAAAGAAAATTATAGTAGTACATGACTCTACTCAGGACCCACTTGTCCTACAGCTCCTTGAGGAAGTAAACAAGTTGAAGGCCGAACGTCAGGCCGAGATACCTGACTGGAACCAACCCAGGCCGGACCCTCTCACAAAAAGGATTCTCGACATCCCCTTCAAGCGAAAACAAAACAAAAGTTTGGTTTACAACTCTATATTGGAAGGGAGACCCAATTGAACACCTTAACCTCTTCGAGTCCACCATGGCATATCGGATGCACACCGACGAAGAGCAATGTCTTCTCTTCCCCTCCACCCTCTCTGGCGGAGCTCTAAACTAGTATTGCAGTCTTCCACCTGAGACAGTAGACTCATTTGAGGAACTGAGGAAACTGTTTGTCTCTCAACACATCTTCCAAACTGATCGCTTGCATTCTGCATATGACTTGTACATTATTCCCCAGAAGCCGGACGAGTCATTACGAGAGTATGCCGGTCGCTTCAGCCATGAGTATTCTCGTTGCACTGAGGCAGATGACAAGACCACCCTCAAGGCCTTCACGACAGGCCTACGTGATTGTTTCTTCAAGTACATGATCAATGCCAACATTTGGAAGATTTACTCTAAGGTGATAACACAGGCTTACAACCATGCCTCCGTCGAAGTAAGGACATACCAAGGGAACCCCTATATGGTTAACCTCTATCAACAAGTGGGAAGTGGAAGTCAAGTTCTACCAAGTGAGGAGATATTGGCCATTCAGACACCCATTACATCATCTCCTGCCTCATTTAGCTACTCGCTAAGTCACCAAACTTATCTATCTCTTGGTAAGAGAAAATAATTTTACTCTCAGCAAGCCCATTACAACAAGAGAGATAAAAGTTCGTATCAAGACAACTAGGGGTGAACGTACCGTCGACTATTATGACTATGGGGCCAAGCCTCACTCTTTCAAAGTGGAGGACTAAGTACTGAAGGAAATGCTATTATAAGAAGGCATACACATTACAAATGTTTTGACTCTCAACTGCTTGAGATATTTTGTCACACAAGCCATTCCGCAAATATTTAAAGAAGAGGGAATTCAGACAACTTCTTCTGAGTCTTTTGCGTTCCTAGCACTGGAACACTTGGTCTGCGCTGACCTACCCTTATACTCCAACTCAGAGCTTCAACATGCGTACTTTGACACAAAGTATGTGATACTAAGTGTTGCAACCAACATGGTTCACATATCAAAAACATGGATCCCTTTATGCATAGCAAAACATTCATAAGCATCATTCATATCAATCAACATAAACATTATACATTCCAACACATTCATACATAAACATCATACATTCCAACACATTCATACATAAGCCAACTGTGCTTCGAAAGGGTTCAACATATTTTGTGTCTTTGACACTTGCTACAATGTGCCTCAACACGTTGCCCTTATTCTCACCAACCAAGTGATGAAATATGAAGAAGGAACTCATCTTCATGCCACCAACCAGGTGATGAAATGTACAACCGATACTCTCATTCATGCCACCAACTAGGTGATGAAATGTACAACCCGTACTCTAATATCATTTGGCAACTTGCCACTCATGCTACCAACCAGGTGAAGAAGGAACTCATCTTCATGCCACCAACCAGGTGATGAAATGTACAACCTGTACTCTAATATCATTTGGCAACTTACCACTCATACCACCAACTAGGTGAAGAAGGAACTCATCTTCGTGCCACCAACCAGGTGATGAAATGTACAACCCGTACTCTCCTTCATGCCACCAACCAGGTG